CAAAGCCAGAGAAAATAACTAGGTCTTTAATCATTTCCTCAATGTCATCAGGGTTAGAACCATCTGGATCTCATGACAGAATACCTTTCCAAAGAACGCCTACTTCCTGGATTTAGCCAATAGGCACTTCTTGGTTGATGGGACCTAGTCTATCCAATCTCATTAGATGGGCAGAAGCAACTAGAGACAGGTCTTCCCTCAAATAATGCATTGCATTTAAATCGGAACGGGATTTATTTAATTTTGGTTTAATGTTACTATGGTTCTGCTTAGTCTGTTATACAAATCCAAGCTGCAAGCCTTAGTTAAATTATGTCTTAGTGCAGTGTGAATTATCAACTTAAAACAGGAGGTTGGAGTACTGAAATTGCTATTGGCTTTCTTATTGTTATTGACTAAAGTCATTTTTAAAGCTATAAAGTAAAGAGTATGGAGTTTAAGGGCCTGCAAGTATTGTGGGATTTCAGCTCCCAACACATTCACTGTCAGATAGCTAGGCCTGTATTTTAGTCCATATCATGTTTCCCCCAAAATAAGACCCAACCGGGGAAAAAAAAAACTAGCATGATTTTTTAGGATGCTCATAATATAAGCCCTTCCCCCAAAATAAGCCCTAGTTAAGATCGTCAGCCAGATGGAAGCATTTAGTACCATATTTTCCTTAAAAATAAGACCTAACCAGAAAATAAGACCTAATTATCTTTTGGAGCAAAAGTTAATATAAGAGTTGGTCTTATTTTTGGGGAAACCCTGATGTATTTTAAACACACACATTCTTATTCTGGTTTGTATACAGCAGGTAGGTCCCCCAGCTTTCCCCTTGGTTTGTTGTTTTAAAATGCAAAAATTGTTAAGATTAAGAAAATGAAAGGAAAATAACTAGCTCAAGTTAAAGGAACCACAGTAGAAAAAGGGGGGGGGGGGGGGGGGAATAAAGAAAGCAAACAGACTGCTGCTTCAGGAAACTGTTTCTAAACGAATGACTAAGTGTAGGTAGAAAACTATATTAATTTTGTTTTCTGTTTGTGCTTGGGATTAATTTTTCTATACCAGCTCAGTAACTCTACTTTTGTTAACCTTGTAGATAGGAATCACAGCTGAACTGTTTCTACTTTACTGTAAAACTACATTGACACAATTTTGCAATAATTTATTTAAATAATTTTGAAAGTTTCATTTTCCCATCTACTGTAGTAAATTCCATCACCCTCCTTATCCTTTAGAGCCCAAGTAGGTATGGATCTTTCTGAGCCTTTTGCCATGCCCACTGTCTATTTGTGGGCTAAGCTGTCTCTTATCTGATGGCTGTCTCTTTGCTCAGTCTCCCAAGTTCTTTTCCACAAGCCATTACAATTTTTAATGTCAGATAAAATTTCTTTACAGTAGGGTTGCACCTAAGGACCAGCCTAGCAACACATCTATCCAGAACTGTATATTTTTATATCTTCTACTATTCATTTTGCATGATAGTACTTACAGTTAAAAATGTTCACATCCTCTTTTATTTTTTTAAAATAAAGCTTGTGTCTATTTATCTCGTGTGAGATTGGTTTATCTATTAAAATGAAAGGGAAGAGAGCAGGATTTTACTAGCTATACAACTAATGCTAAAAGGCCAGAAGGTGGTGCTAGAAAATCTGTTTATTTTTTCTTTTTATTTTAATTTCCTGGAAAGGCAATGAAGCTTGTGGGAGTTTTATCTCTCCCATACACTATGGCTCAGAGGAAGATACTGGGTGAAAGGTTCCCCTGAAAAACAGATGGTAGCAGCAGGTATACCAATCCACCACACCAAGGCAGGAAGCAGAGATGGGGTTCATAAAGCCATTAGGTTTCCAATAGAGTAATTTTCAAATTAAATAAGTAGTTCTAGTTTCAAAGTGTATTAAATGCAAAATATTTTATCTGTACTTGCCAAAGAACTTTTGGGAATCAGTATTCTTCCATAGGCTTATGAATGATATATTTAGTTTCTTTCCTGTCATATGCTAAAGCACTTACTCATTTAAGTTATTTTGTCATCTTTAATACGAATATTCTCAGTGACCCATCAAGCTCCTCAGGGTGTTACAGATAGCAAATTAGAGCTGTTGTAATGCTACATTTGAGTTTGTGAAAATGCTCGTCTTTCTATCCAGAATAACCATTATTTATAATTTGTATTTTTGATGGTAAAGTGGCAGGTATTAAATATCATGCTTTTAAATTATGTATATATAGTTATTCAATAAGCAGGATGAAGATTTTGGGGCATTTTTTCCCTTATGGTTCAAATGTTATCTAGTCATTCTGCAAACTACATGGCACCTATAACAGCTTTAGCAGAAAAGTGACAGGCAAGGTAGATTTATGCAAAAGGCCCAGCTCCAGCTGCTACCTGTTATTCAAATGAAACCCAGATTACTAAGCAGCTCTGCTTGAGGAAAGGCAGCCCCATCATTAGCCAAAGCTGGAATATTTGGAATTGGAAAGCTTTACACATAGAAAGTCATTCTGTCTTCATGAAACTTGATAACCTGATGTTTCATGGATCACAGGACATTTTATATTACAGGGTTGCTCCAGTTAGGAACATTTCTGGAGCAGACATTTGCTTCTGATCTCATCACACTAATACTATATTATTCTACTATGTTTCTTTAACTCAGTCCATATGGAACTGCTCTTGAAAATTACTCAAAAAGAACAGCTGGTGGAAGGTGCAATCCCTTTATACTTATTGTAATGGAGTGTTTCAATAAATCCATGTCTGAGGGGTACATCGCTTCAGGCTGAAACTGTTTACAAATAATCCTAAATAGCGTAGGATTTGACTGCTGATACATCTGTGACTTTTGATAGATGTGTTATGAGATCACTTGCTGTTTGTAAATTCTATCCATCTTTAATTGGCTGGTAGAGAGCACTTGATAAGTGTTTGTACCTATATGATGTAGATCAAAATGGAACCCTCCTAGCCATGATTGCCAACTGCTCTTTGAGCAGGATTCATAAGTCTTCTAGGATGACTCCCAGATTAACACTGTGTTTATCTAAGGTAACGCAATCCTATCCAGCACCCAAATAGCACCCAAGTCCTTGAAACAGACCCAAAGCCATTAAGTCATGCCAGGTATTGTTTCATATACAGACTCTCATAGACTTCAGAAATAAGGATAAGATACTCAGGCATTATTTAAGTCACCAGGGGATATACTGTATATATCTCATGGAACCCTATGAGCTTACTCAACAGGCTTGTGTAGATGTTAGGAAAGATAATGGGACCAGGAGTAGGTTTCTATTTCCCAATGAACATAACTGGAATTGGTCCTCAAGAAAGGGGTTGAACCAGCACAACAACATGTCATGTTATCTACTCCCAATCTTCTGGTCCAAATGCATATCATGCTTGATGGTATCGAAAGCCACAAAGGGGGCAAGAATGGATACATCAGGTCTGAATCCTCACTGAAAAGAGTCCCAATAATCAATTTCTTCCAAGGCCCTCTGAAGCTGTTGCATGACCACCTTCAACAGATTCTTCCTAAAAGAAAGGTAAAATGCTACTCAGAAATTGTCCAGTATAATGCAGTACAGTGATGGCTTCTTGAATAGGGGAACCACAGTCTTTAAGAGATAGAGGAACACCCCCTCACTCAGAGAAGAATTCACCAGCACTAGAACCCATTCACATGATGTTCTGGGTTGCTTTAACAGTCTAGGAGGGGCATGGATATAAAAGGCAGATGCCTGAGGTCATAGTCCTGAAAACAGGTCCAATAAGTTCAGACCATTCTCAATCAGGCAAGACTTCACCCCAATCACCTGCTGGGGACCTGTGCAAAAGACAGTTTCCAGCAAGCCCAAGTGACAGTATCCAACAGATGCTGTGCCAATTCCTCACGTCCCTGTAAGATATTCCTTCCTTATTTGGGAGGGTCTGTGTCACCTGAAATAGAATAATGGGGTGGCATTCTCTGGATGCAAAAAAGGCAGAGAAGTAGTGACACTTTGCTGTCCTTACTGCCACAAGATTGGCATTAATGTCCTGTGCTCAGTCTAATTCAGTGGTTCTCAACCTTTTCTTCACCACAGACCCCCTTTAAATATTTTTTTGTGGCCACAGACCATGGCCACAGATCCTCAAGACTTAAGATTTAAATCATTTCTTAAAGCCTTTGTGGACCCCCAGTGATGAAAATGTGCTCCCCCCCCCAGGAGTCCACAGACCACAGGTCTAATTCATTCTTTGGTGAGCATCAGTGATGCTAAGATCTTCTGCACCAAAGGGAAAAAGGAAATAGATGATTAGATGGATAGGTTGTGTGTGTGTGTGTGAAAGAGGGGGCTTAAGTGGGTCCACGGGAATAAGAGGCAGGACGCGGCAGGAGTAGATAAAACTCTTATTATGTCTACTAAGCAAAAAGCCGCTCAGCCACAGCAGGCGCCGGCTTTTGTAGCCGGCGCTGTCCAGAGCTTCAGCCACTGATGGGACTTTATTTCTCCCACCAGTGGCTGGGCCAATGAGTGGAGTCTGCTAGCCAACTCCACTGTATGGCCATATTTGGTAATACTTGAGAGAGAGGGAGGGAGGGAGGGAGGGAGGGAGGGGGAGAGAGAGAGAGAGAGAGAGAGAGAGAGAGAGAGAGAGAGAGAGAGATTGGGTCAATTCATTTAAACCACAAATAACTAAAGTGTGGTTTAACACATGGTCAAAACAAATTTGG